TAGTTTAGCTTTTATTTTAGCTACTAGAAGGGTTATAAAGCCCTTACTCCCTATAATTTAGAATCGATTTAGAATAGATTTAGAATAGATTTAGAATAGATTTAGAATAGATTACTAAGGATAGAGAAATTAATATATATTAAGTAATCCTATTTTACTATATTCACCCCTTTTCAGCACCCCCTAGTAGTTAGGTCAGTTCCGGAATAGGCTTAACGCAGAATAAAAGCGGGCCCAATAGTCAGCTCAGGTCGATACCCAATGGTCAGGTGAGCTATAGCCTCATTCTGCAGACACTGACAAAATCAGGCTGTCTGTATCACGTTGGGTCTGTGGCTTGTCGAATCTCCATAGTCGGACGTTGAAAATGACGCATGCAAGACACCTTGAGATCTCGAGGACTCGAACCAGTATGCTTGGTATTCCAACTCATCGCGAAAGGCTTGTAAAACTGCATGGCTTTGCGTGAGCTTACTCCTTCACGGATGAAAGTTTTGTGTAAGGTACTTGAATCCAGAAGATATCCGGTGGCTGCCAATTGGTGCTTTGACGATTGCCTATGCCAGGTATAAATGCCCAGCTGCTGACGAGTCATAGACGTAGGTCCGCTTGCCAACAACATCGCAACGTAACAGGTGGTCAACGGATCAGGTATAGAGTGGCAGGTCATACGGATTGAAGATTCGTGCTTTCATCGCCGGCGGTCCCGCAAGTCTCAATATGCCGCCGGCTGGCCATTCAAGTTTGAGAACACAGAATCAGCACCTTACTAGGCTCCTTGTTCGGGCAATGCCCCACCACTTGCTGACTTCCTCAGCATCAAGGCGTGCAGACAAGGCTCTCAATACGAGTCGACTGACTTATCAGGGGCTAACTACTAGGGTGGATGATACCAATGTTCACCAGAGCGACTGGCGTCCAGTTGGATCGGACGCCGCAGACCCTTTGCCAAGATTTTGGGTCTTGGAACTATTGCGTCCCGTGTGCCCTGTCGGTGCGCGAAACAGACTTTGCGGTTGGTGGCGTACCCTCCGCTGATCTTGATTGAGCGGATTACACATAGCAACTCACATAGGGCGGTTTGAGCCAACTGCGGCTGATTCATGAGTACGCCAAGCTAGGAAGGGAGCTCGGCTCCGAATAGACCACGGAAACCGAGCTTGATGTAGAGTTACGCTCAATGATCTCCTGAAAGCTATCAATATTTTGACCCAAGTATATTTAGACGTAGGCCAAGATGTGTGGTCAGCAAGAGTTCCAAGTGCTCTGCACCAAAGCAAACTGCCTACCGTCTCAGGTGAGATAAGAAGCGTACTATGCATTGCCATTTTTCTAGTCTGGAGCCAAGTATTCTTCTAAGATTATGTACTTCAAAGCACCAGGATACCCGTCAATGGTAGATCTCGGCTGCTCTTGCCAACGGAAACTCTGTACTCCCCCTCCTGAAGATGCCACTTTTGTGCCTCTACATTCCATACACTAAGATCTCTACGTCTCAGGGGGAATTTCATAGTAGCGGTCTCACCTACTTTTATCAGTTGCTTCTCGAAACCTCGGAGCTGCTTTAGTGGCGTATGCTCATCACCGGGAATGCCGAGATATAGCTGCGCGACCTCCATTCCGTCGACCTTTCCGCTGTTTGTTACGTCCGCTTCCACGATGACTAACTCATCCCACAGATCTTTATGCCCTCCCTCAATAATTGGGCCCGTCGGATATGCACCAAAGCTACCATCAGTCTTGGAGATTTTGAGAAAAGAGTAGTTGAAAGTTGTGTAACTCAAACCAAAACCAAATTCGAAACGTGGGTCGACCTTCTTGGAGTCGAAATCACGGTAGTCCACGAAAGTACCCTCAACGAAGTTAGACTGGGGATATGTCCGAAACCGACTAGGCGCGTCTCGAGACGTGTAATCAGGCTTCAGTAAATCGCCGTAGTCGGACTCGTTCCGGGCAACAGTATATGGAAGACGGCCGGAGAAGTTTTCCTGGCCATAAAGGAGTGAGATCAATGCCCTTCCACTATCTTGGCCCGGAAGATGAGCAAAGATTACAGCTGTGACGTTAGGGTGTTCGATGAAGGAGTCGACGAGGCGTGGCCCAGCATTATGGAATACCACAATCGTGTTGGCACACTTGTTGGCCACATTCAAGATGAGCTTGTCAGTGTACTGGTCGCGCAGCGATGGGCGATCATACCCTTCTGTGGCCCAGACATTACCGACGACAATGCAGGCATCAGAATTTGGGTTGACAGAAGGATCTCCGGACTCGAAGTCATGGTAAAGAGCGGTTCCGTCCTCGTAAGCCTGGGATACGAGAGCATCGTAGGGGGCGCTGATCAAGCTCCACGAGGGCGCCGCCGAGCCGCCAGCAGAGATGAGAGTTCCGTTGATTGCAATGTCAGATGTCGGAAGATCGAGGTTACCGAACCAACCCAGGTCGACCTCTGTGATGTTGGCGGACTGGATGCCCATCTCCCATGATGCGAATCGGGTACCGTTCGCTGCAGGGACTGGCGTGTTACTGCTGGGTGCGCGGGCGGAATAGCCAAAGAGAGAGATCAGCTTCATGTTTTCGGAGCGCAACGGTAGCGCATTTTTCTCGTTCTTGACAAGAACGTGGCCCTCAACCGCGCCGTCGAAAAGAGTCGGCCTGGAACATTTCGTACGAGCATCGACAATAGAGTGCGGCTCCCAGAGCCTTTGAGCCATGCCATAACCAGGCTTTGGGAAGCCTTCGGCGTCCTGCTTTAGGTGGAACCAGGATGCGATGAGTCTGGGCTAGCCAGTCAGCTGGATCACACCAAAGGTTTACGAAACACTCACCTGGTCGCCATGTTATCAATCTGCGCCTCTGGAAGAGATCCGTTGCTAACTGCCTCGACCAGTGATGATCCAAATTTGCCAGCGCCGTTAGGCATAGCCACGTCGAGTCCGCTCAGTGCAGAGGCAACACCTCCCTTCATTGCACCCCAGTCGCTCACGATCCATCCCTGCAATAATGAGCATACTCAATGACACAAGATTTTAGTCCGATGGACGCACCTGGAAGCCAAGCTCCTCCTTAAGCAAGCCATTTTGCGACTTGCTATTTTGACAGGCGTAAGAGTTGTTAAGTCTGTTGTAAGAGCACATGATATTGGCCGTGCCAGCGTGAACTGCGTCGTAGAAAGGCCTGAAAAGGTCAGTTAAGCCTTGCTTGATCGAGGAGGGTTGGTGTCACCAGAGATAGAGCTCATGCATAGTACGATCATCCACATTGGACGAGATAGCCTCCTGAAAAGGACCATCGTCTCGAGTGGACAGTCTGTGTGTCTCCTGCTCTTGGGCGATGAAGTGCTGTGTGTTGTTAATCATCAGTTGTAACGCTAAAGGGCCACGCCACAAACCTTGGTGCTGGCCATCACTCCGTTCTCCTGAATTCCCTCCACTGTTTCATGCACTAGACGACCACTTAGATAAGGGTCAACAGAAAAAGCTGGGATTAAAGTCAGCCACTCAAATTGTAACCATACTCCGGATGGCTATTACCCTCCCAGTTTCGACCAGCAGTTAAAATGCGGCCGATAGGGCCGATAGAAGGGCCAAGGAGCACACTGACACCCTTGATCTTAGCTTCTCGGCCCATGTGGTATGCTCTTCTATGCGCGAGCTCCTTGTTCCAGCTTGCTCCGACGTGAATTCCCGGTGGGAAGGCACTGACGTAGTCAGTTCCACGGACGCTATTGCCCGAGTCCACGAGGCACATCCCAGGAAACCCAAGTCGAGGTATGCCGGGAATCCAACCGCTGCAACCAGTACTAGAAGTGGTGCCCGCAGTTAAGTTTGCCTGCCAAAGTCAGCGTCCCTTGTACCGTTAGCTAACAGATTGTTGTACCTTTTCTTCCAAAGTCATCTGGTTGATGAGAGTCTTGGCCTTGGCAAGAGCATCTGACCAAGGGCCATCTGGTGATAGCTCAGGGGTAGGGTACACTGCGGGCGCCTGTCCAAAAAAGAAAGAGTCATCGACGATAGGTTCGTCTTGAGCCACGACCTGGGAGATAGCTGCGAGGCCAAGAAGGCCAGAAACCAGACTTTTCAACATGGCGCGTCAGATCTTCAGCTCAAGGCACAGTACCTACAAGGGGTACGAGCGAACAAAGCCGATAGAGATTGGGACTAACTAAACGAAGGACACGACCGTGGTCTTTATATTGTCAAGATGGCCTGCGAGCCTGGCGAATGCCTCACCTCCACCAACGCCACCTGAGTTCATCAAGCCATGATCTCTGATTAGGACGCCAACTTGCCAAGGCACCGTGAGATGCCGGCGCTTGAAGAATAATGGTGGGGGGCTGCATCTCCAGCTGCATGTTATGAGTTGACGAGGAGAGCACAAGATTCGAGGCTGCCAGTGACACCCATGACGGAACTGACTTACTACAGGGAAGTACATGATCAATCCCAGGATCTCGTTATTCGGCCCTTCTCACACACAAACCAGTCTTGATTCCGTCATGTCACTTCGATGCCGTACACAGTAGACATGAGCCATTAGCCGAAGGGTTGGTATACGCCAGGATTGCTGGCAGGCAAAGCGAGCGCAGATCGACTGCCAAGACGTCAGCGACATCCGGTGGTTCCACAGTGCGAAGGTTTATAGCATCCGGAGTTCGTCATGGGGGCAGGTCCTGGAGGGCGGAGGGGGGGACTGGCTGCATGCGAGACGAGCTGAGAGTGTTGTAAGGCATGGCGATTCTGGGGAATCCTTAGCTGATCGCTACTGTGGACCAGGGGTCCGTGATATCGCAGTAGCTCGGCCTGCGGCAGACCTCTATAATTTCGGTCGGCAGTTATCCACGGGTCTACGTTTCGGTCTGTCCGTTCATGTATTGCATGGTGGATAAGCTGAACCTGGAAACGGGCACTGCAATACCTTGAAAATTAATATCAATCTTTTTTTTCCGTTGGTCATGCCATAATCATCGATTCAGGATGAGTGGCTCCTGCACAGGGTTTCTTGCCTGGTGACAGATGGCTGGCGCACCACTTGTCTCCCCCCCCCAAAAAGTGCACACACCCAACTTGCACTGACGATGACTTCTGTCATGAGTCAGAGATATGTCACGAAGCCAGTGCCATAAAAGGCCCGAAATTTGTGGCCCTCGATCTTGGAGACCCCAGAAAGATCAGCACAAGAAATCGCAACCCCTGCCAGCTCTCGATGCCCGAGCTTTCTCCGCTGGGTCTGGCTACTAATCGCGGGTTGTCAGTGGTCTTCCATGGCGGTGATTCTCGCTTAAGCCCTGTAGCGTACTTGGAATATTCGATGGCTCGGCAGGCGTGCGGTCTTCTAGCCATACCGTGGATCCCACAACAGACCTTCTCCACCACTGTGCGGTTCGCGGGGGATTCTTATTTGATGGTAATAAGGCAGGCTATCCTTTCACAGGAGGGATAAGGAAAAGTTCAATTATCTGACAACAGCAATTAATCCCTACCCCCATGAAGCTCCCGAGATGGTCTGTGATAAATCAGGGAGGTGGTGACAGCGGGTTTGTTGAACATGGCCAAGCGTCATCATGCTACGCCAAGATAGGCGACTTGATAATCTGAAGTGACAGTAGCAGAGCATTGTATCGCTTACCCAAGATTCTGTGCGCGCGAATACAGATCAAGATAAATTTCCGAGACTGATCCTGCCAGACCGGGTTGTTTTCCCAGTTATTTTCCGCTGATGTGAAGGAGGCAATCTAGACAGACCATCAAAGCTATGAACAATAAGTACCATACGTACTCTTACCAATGCAGGTTGGCAAGAACACCACGCCTCCGCATGGTTTGGACCCGGCGTTTGTCGTTCTGCCCATCCTCCTCATCGTCATTGCCAGCGTTGCCGTTATCAGCACCGTTGCCAGCTCCGTTGCCAGCTCCGTTGCCGGCGCCATTGCCAGCTCCATTGCCGGCGCCATTGTCATCCCCATTGCCAGCTCCATTACCATTTCCATTGCCGGCGCCATTGCCAGCTCCATTGCCGGCGCCATTGCCAGCTCCATTGCCGGCGCCATTGCCGGCTCCATTGCCGGCGCCATTCTCGCCATCGTTGTCGTCTCCGGCGTTACCTGCATTACCAGTGTCGTCTGCGCCGCCAGCCTGACCATTGCCGGCATCGTTACCAGCATCGTTACCAGCATCGTTACCAGCATCGTTACCAGCATCGTTGTCGTTGTTGTTGTCGTTGTTCTGACCGGCGTTGCCATTTCCTTGACCAGCATTGCCCTCGCCAGCATTCCCCTGGCCATTGTTGCCGTTGTTGTTGTTGCCGTTGCCGTTGTTGCCGTTGCCGTTACCGTTGCCATCGGCCGCGGCAGGGGGTGTCGATGGAGCAGCGGCACCACAGTCGGCCGTGTTTGTCGCAGCAGCCTCCCCGGGTGCGGCAGCGCCGCCGGCACCAGCATTGTTGTTCTTACCTGCTCCATCTTGCTTTCCCTTTCCTTGATTCTTTCCCTGGCCTTTGCCCTGGTTCTTTCCCTGACCCTTGCCCTGATTCTTCTTGCCCTGGCCTTTGCCCTGGCCTTTGCCCTGGTTCTTGCCCTGGTTTTTGCCTTGACCTTTGCCACCATTGGCAGGCGGAACCTCCGTGCCATTGTTTGCAGCTCCGCCGCCGACGGCCCCGCCTGGAGCAGCAGCTTCACCACCACCACCGGCACCTGCTTTCCCTTGCTTTCCCTTGCCTCCTAGAAGATCATCGAGAGCCCCACCTGCAGCTCCTTCTGGGTTGGGTTAGCTCGGTATGTTGTGAATGAGAAGGACTTTGCTCACCATTCTTCTTGCCGGCTGCACCTCCACCTAGAAGACCGTCAAGAGCGCCACCAGCTCCAGCTAGACATTTGTCAACACTGCGACTTGAGATGGCCAAACATAGGGGCTCTCACCGTTATTCTTGCCACCAGCAGCCCCATCACCGGCCCCGTTGCCAGCACCAGCGGCACCGCCAGCACCAGCGCCATCAAGAAGACCGAGAAGCTGGTCGAGCTGCCGAGGCGCTACCTGGCGCTTTTCTTTGATGGCTGTTCCTGCGTTTCCGGTTTCGTAGTGAGCGATAGCCAATCCGTTAAATGCAAGTGCGGCCACAACGGCATGGCGGAGAGAAAGTGTCGAAACCATGTTGAAAGCTGTGAGACAATTGAAATGCAAGAGTTGCGGAAGTTGAAAAGCCACAAAGATATCCAGGCGTCAAGCCTTGAATGCGAAGGAATGGAAAAGTCTACCTGTAGACTGTTACTGACGGAGTGGAAGGAAAGACAAAAAGGACAATAGTCTGCATGTCGCTGTGAGGACTACCTGGATGGACTGGAAATGTGCAGGTTAAGATGGCTATTTAAAGGACAATGTGTTAGCGGAGCAATGAGTGATGGACTGATCTACTTACCCCCCTTCCCCCTGGCCCCTCCGCCCGTCTGATGACCAAAGTGGTAGGTAAGTGATCGTAGCGGCAACTCTGGGAAGGGCCTCATCTCTCCCCTCCAAGAGATCAGCGTAGTACGCTGGGATAGGGGATGGGATTTGGTAGCTAAGCACATGTGAGTCTGGATTGCGGTCGATGTGTTTGGGATGTGCTACCAGCGTGCGACAAAGGGCGTGAATGGTGTGGAGGACCAGGGGGGCGAGCGTTTAGCCTCATCAAGAAAGAAAACCACGAGGGATATTGAGTCGTGAATGAGACTGGACGAAACATGGCGGCAACACCTACAAACACGCACCCCTGCTTTCCAACTGTTCAAGGCGTATCAAACTCAGACTGCTATGTTGCGCTGATGTGCGCTATGAAAGTCAACAATTGAGTCACGCTGGATAGGTTGGACGAAAGTTATCACTCGAAAGCTTAGCGTCGATCAAGTGTCAGGAGACGTTTCCCCGGCCGACCAGGCGCAAAACAAGCTTGCAACCCCAGCTTCTCTGGGAGCTGAAGCCTTTGTCTGTGGGGCGCAGCTAGCGTGTTGGCCGTGCCCATGTCGGGGCTTCGTTTCAGAATCCCCGGACCACCGAGTCCCGAGCGGCTCTGCCAAGGCCTGATGCCCCGTCCTCCCCGACACGCCAGAGAGGTTCGACGAACCGTGACAAGCCAATCCGATCCGGCGTAGTCGGCGATTCACGCAATCGAACAGTCTGTGGGCCGGCCGTCTTCGTGCTGATCCTCTCATGACGCTCCGGCAAGGAAACAGGCGCAACGGTGTCGATCGGCTGACGACGCCTCGGATCATCGGCCGCAGGTCTATCAGAGCGTTCTGTGTTTCGCTCACTTCAAAATGAGCTTCGTAGCTTCGTCTGATCGTCAGTCCGAGATGTGTTCTCAGCTCTGGTAAACGAGGCTGTTACCCATTACGTGGAGATGAATGAGTCTTTTGATGAGAACCGGTCTCGATTTGTGCAAGTATCAGATAAATTGCCACGTACTAAAAGGTGTTTGAGCTGCCTGGATGACAAAGATGGGAAGACAAATAGATCAACGCCAAGACTCACGCGGGCTAAGCGTTGGGCTGGTGCCTTGGCAGATCTGTCAACCGACGGTCTGATCTGCGTTCCAGGACTTCGTGATCATGGAACGATTAATGGGACAGCGATTGCCGATCAGCTCAAGACCAAATATAGTGACAAGTCAGCTGTGAAAGATCCGCTTGACCCAACACATGGGATCAATCTGTGACGTTCAATGTCGAAGGCTCAAAAGCTTGGCATGCACCGCATCTCGTGTTTGGTGATGAGAGGGAAACCCAGTATTTTCAATGTAAACCTCTGATTTGAGGCGGTCCTGACCAACACCGCTGTTTGTTCTTTCCAACCTACACCAAGTCGCGTCATTTAGTGGCAGAGACATCAGATATTCAGAGGAGCTAGTTAAAGCCATAATTCTCAGGAACTAAACCGTACGCCGCCTAAAGGGAAATATGTTAATAAAAGAAAAAAAGAAAAAAAGAAAAAAAGAAAAAAAGGGAAAGAAGGAACTAAATAGCATAGTAAACTAACCTTCTCCGTGATTCATCCTACCTAGCAGGCTCGGGCCTGGACATAAACCGCAGCGGCCTCAGTCGGCTATACCTGTCGCATGCGGCAAATTTCCACCAGTCTCTGTGCAACCAGAAGACAACACTTCTACAGATGAATTTGACAACTCCTGGCGCAGGGGGCCATTTTGACCAAATTCCTCCTTCGAAAGTTATGTCATGGTTTGAGAAGCACCACGGTAATCCGGCCATAAAGCCCATTTCTTTCTGTTTGAGACTCTTCAGTCTTGGGTAACGACAGTATTGCAACAGGCATACGAACCATGTTCTTCTTGCCGTCTTCAGCAAATCTATTCTCCATTCGCCCCATCTTCTGTGCACCAAAGCTCTGTAAACCGACGATGGTTGGAATCTCCTCGGTAAGGTGTTGCACCAAAACTCTGCCGAAAGAGTCAATCAAGGATACAATCCTGTTTCCTGAGAACTGAGTTGGGTCATTGGCGCATTCTTTGAGATAGAGATGGAATGTGGCGAGCCCTTCTTGGAATGCATGGTGCTGTTCTACGTTTCCACTCATAATGCCCGTTTCGCCAGAAATCGTCTCGATGAGGGGGAAGAAGTCGGATTCTTCACACGAATGGTGCAGATGCACCAACTTATACCATATCAGGCTATACTGAATGAAAGCTGGCACCTCCAGCAACGGGACATTTGGCGCTTGGAGGTGTATCGAGTTGAGGCCGCGGACGATCATGTTATGAACGCACGCCATCTCGCCAGCGACACGCTCGAACATATCGGGCTTCACACATTAGTGAAGAAGTCGTTTATCACGACTTGGATATACTGACCTCGAAGGCTTTTGAAAGCTTCTTCCCTTCGTACGCCGGAGACGCGATGAGGGGGAACGGATGATCAGCATAAACGTTTGCCATAGCGAGGAACAGAATAATCCTGGGAAGTGAAGTTCAGACAGGACAGTTGGGAGAACCCTCGCTTGATAACCTGGACCTCGTGCATGCTGTAGACTCGCTCTTTGTTCTCAGCCGCACTTGATTGTGAGACAAACTCTTCAGCCGTCAAGCTAAGGTTTGGTGATTGCTATGGCTAGGTAACAATCCAATCCTGCGCGAGGCAATATCTCCAAGTGGAGGGTAATTGATTGGCGTTTACCCAGGTTGATCTTCAGCGTGGCGCGCTAAAGCTTGATCTAGAGCTTTACATAACAAGGACTGTTCGCTCAATAGCTCAAGACGCGTCGAGGCGCCCGGAGGTATGCTTCTCATCAGAATTCTGAATGAAAGGCTAGCTAGGCATTGGGAGCGGGGTTGGCGGGGAACATGACCAGTCTAGGCAAGAGATGATTAGGCCTGGTACCAGGCTTGGATTTTGGTGATAGAGAACACGACAAGATGGCAATCACAGTGACCGCTTTTGGTAGCTTCAGAGGTACGAAGGCACGAATCTTGGAGATTCAACGTCGACTCGAGGAAGGCATAAAGCTTGTACGACCTGGAACAGACACAATGTCGGCGACAAACGTATTTTGAGAGTGAAATTGTGGTATCCATTTGGTTTCAAAGCAACATGTTCTAACGAGTGAATTTGGCTTGCAAGCATGTGGCGAGCAAGTACTCCAGCAGCGTTACCCTTCATAACGCCTGTCATCAATCAGTCGTTGGGCATACGACAACAATTGTGTTGCGCAAGAACCGTCGCAGCCCTGGTATCTGGTGAAAATAAAATGAAGATGAAAAGTCGAGGATTGTAGTCTTAAGCGATTGCAGCCTCTTCAGCAGCCCCCGCACCCTGTTTGTTCTTGCGGCGAAAGATGTTTTTGACATCGTCGCGGAACCGTGTCGGTGGCGAGCTGAACTTTGCCTCGTAGGCATCAACGATAGGTCGCTCCCAGATGAGGTCGGCCTCGTGAGGACGGACGATGCGCGAGCGCTTCAAAAGCTTCCATCCAGTGAATGAAATGATGGCGACAAAGACCATGGTGTAGTAGGAGAAGAATGTGAGGGTGTCCCAGTTTCCTGTGAGGAAAGTGGTGTACCCGAAGGTGAGGACCATTAGAGTCATCCAGAACACACCAATATAGGCGCAGTATGGTTGAAACCATCCCGTGTAAGGTAGCGTCTTCCGGTCCAACCCTTGGGCCTCGCAGGCGCGGTAAAAACAGATGTATGTGACACTGATCACGATGTAGTTGATCAGACCAGATGCCGACGTCAAACTCTGTAGCTTCGTCACGACACCGGCTGTGTCGCCCGATACCTGGAGGAACGAGATGAAGGGGAACACCATGACAACGGCAAAACAGTAAACGGGAATACCGTTGCTGAGACACTTCTTCAGGAAGCTCGGGGCCTGCCCCTGCAGGGCAAGTCCATACAAGCAGCGCATTGCGCAGTACGTGTAGGCATTGCCGGCACTGAAAATACTGGTACAGAGCAGAGCATTGACCACGTGGGGAAGAACCCCGACTCCCATGTTCTTCATGGCGATGACGTACGGCGAGCCGTTGGCGGTGCCGGCTCCGGCGTTGTCGAGATCCGGGTCATTGTAAGGGAGGACGATGGAGACGCACAGGGCTCCGCCGATGAAAAAGAAGCCGAAGCGCCAATACACAGACTTGAAGCCCTGCTTGAGATAGGTCCGCGGACGCTTGGCCTCACCGGCGACCATGGATAGATATTCAGGGCCGACGACGGTAAAGCATGCCGAATAAAGGGCCGCTAGGTAGCCCTGGAAGCGACCGAGGTCGCCCGTGGTCTGATAGGCGGCGAAAGCGCCAGGATTCTTCCAGTATCGGAAACCGTAGGCATCATTATCGGGGTTGCCACCGACCATGGTCACGAAGGTGAATGTGAAGACGATGAGAATCAGCAGAATTTTGCCGCTGGCGAGCCAAAACTCGGCTTCGCTAAAATGGAGGGAACACGTCGGTCAGCATTGGTATACAAGAGGAGGCTTCGCTGGCAAATCGGGGAGGGTCTTGCGGCGTTCGTGGCCCGTCTTTCATCGGGGTTCATGGACGCTCTGCTTCGTCTTCTCCTGCCACTGAGACTTACCCAAAGTACTTGACGGCGACGACATTGAGCAAGGCGTACAACACGATGCATCCAACACACACAGCAGCTTCAGGAATATCGTCACGCCAAAAGCCGAGAACAAGGTTCAGGGCCGCAATCTCAAAGGGGATCAGGAAGGCTTCATAGAAGAAAAAGTTCCAACCAGCCATGAATCCCCAAGCTTCGTCCACCCACTTGCCGGCGAAGCGGATGAAGGCGCCAGAGATGGGCATGTAGACACACATCTCGGCCAAGCCGTTGCTGACGCATGCGAGCACAATGGACTGAGTGAGGTAACCGAGGAAGAGAGAAGCTGGCCCGCCGCGCTGGAGACCAGTGCCGATGCTGACGAAGAGGGCAGTACCGATGGAGCCGCCAATCGCGATCAGCTGGATCTGACGATTGCCGAGATGTCGCTGGAGCTGGTCGGCGTTGTCGCGCTCAATAACGCCCTCGCGAAGCTCGCCGTCGCTGCTGTTAGCGCGCAGGGACTGGCCTTTCTCTTGGGTAGCCCCAAGGGGCTGTGCCCCAGTGTCGAAATCTTTGGGTGGTGCCGCCATAGTGGGCAGGAGGTGCTGCTATTGATGAGGGTAGATGATGGGGAAGGAAGACAAGGTATGCTGTATTAAAACAGGACACAAGAGGGCGATCAAATCGCACGAGGGATGGTTAATGAGCCGACGCGCGCAAATGGAAGCTGCGTGCGGTTCGGGTCTCAGACTCAGGAATGTGAGCAAGAGAAGAATAATGAACTGCGACACGGCCGCGTGCACTTCGGCTGGGGGGATGGGTGCGACATTATGTACACAGGGAGACGGTCGAGAGACAAATACAACCCTGATCAGCATTTCTCGTCTGCCAGGTTGCCAGGATCCGATCCGCCGCACGACGACGTACGACGTGCTGCTTCCCGCCTACTCTTCAGCTACAGCGACAGTGACAAGCAACATGGGCATCTCTATGGTGGACGTCAAGAAAAAACGGGACTCGGCACGGCGCCGGTGGTGGCCAAGTACCCACCCGGTCGGCCCCCTGAAGAGGTCGCCCGAGGGAGGTCTCAGGGCCTGCTACCTTCTCTTCGTCCACTGTAAGCCGTGGGTCGGTCTTCTTGGCCGTCCATGGTACGTTGGTCCGCGTGGAGCTGAGGCCCAAGCTAAGTGACCCCATCGGTCCACCATGGGGGCCCCTGGGGGTTGGCACTGAAGCTGGATTCCAATTGACCGGACTGATTACTAGCCTGGGCTGGCCTGACTGGATGGATTGGATCTTGGTCCCAAAGGGGGGAAAACTCTGCATCCAGACTGCATATGGTATGGTGCGCCAAGTGTCGCGCACCCCGTCGAATACTTGCCCTCCCTCCAGACTCAGTCGTCGACATGGACGCCTGGAGACATTACATTGGCATTACACGCATAGACGTAGCGTAGGTAGATGGGGGATAAGGGTCTATTCCCCACGCAGCCCCCTGTGTTTCTTTCTTTATTAAATGAATCTTTCAGGGCTGCTCAAGACGTGGGGCAGCCTGGCTGCACGCGTCCTAAGCTTTCACTTGCTGCTGGCCCTCGAATGACAGTCCTGAGTGACACCAATAGAAAGCGTCGCAGTGATACCCACCTGCCACCACACGTCAGGATTCGACGCAGATTACGCCCAGAACGATGGTACAGTAGGACGCAAGAGATTGCAGGCAGAAAGGCCGGCAAGGCAGGTAAGGCAGGCAAGGCAGTCTCTAGCGAACTGCCAGTCGGTCGGTATCAATCATACCTAGCCGCCGGTCACTTGATCGGGATTGTATCCATGTTCGCAGCGACACGGCACCCGTGTCGGTCTACCCGCCCCCTCCCCCGGTTTCTTTTATTGCCTCTATTGAGCCAGTCTGATCAGCTCATGCGGCTTGATTACCACGTGAGCAGTTCTGGCCTCGACGTTGCCACCATGTGTCACCTCACCACGCGTTAAGATAGAGTCGCTTCCAGTTCGCTCGGCCTAGGTAAAAGTCTCTGCTCCCTCGGGTGGGCCAGCCCAAATGCCCATGTTGCAAGACAATGAGCCATAATGTGGGCATCGCCTTTCGGCGGGTTGCGACCGCGGAAGCATCTTGATAGCGCGCCAGCAAGCACACGACCAGCTTTCTTGGCGTTTGACAAGGGTACATCGCCAACACGAGGCTTGTCGATGCTGGAGGCAGCGAAAGTCCTTTCAGCCGTTAGCTTAATGAGGCCAGGGGCGCCGACCCCCCGGTTCGCTCTCCTAGTGTAATGAAGAGACAGGGAGGCAACCAGTTGCAGGAGTGTAAATTCCAACGGAGGAGGATCGCACCGCCCACATCCTGGCTCCCCCACACACAGCACAAACCTGCATCGTACAGTGTCGTCAGAGGCGCTACGAGTCGCACGACCCATCTTGCCCCGCTTGAAGCCTGGGAGTTATCATGTGCTCGTGTGCGTACGTAAAGCACCCAGAAAGCAAGAAGCGAGTTGCAATCTATGGATAATGACGCAGGGCTTGGGGAAAGGATGTGAGCATCAGCAACAGCACGGAGGGATCCTGACTGCCGGACATGCGACAAGACAGCGTACGTCCAGACAAGCTCATGAGTTTCGCGGGTGGCGCCATTGGCAACTTGATCCTTTCTTGTCGCTTCTTGTCGTTGACCATTGGATTGCCATGGCTGTACGATACTGGTGCAGCGCGTTTCCCACTGTTGTATTGTATGGCATAGTCTAAGCCCAGGACACCAAGGCTGCCTTGGCCACCTGGGCTTTCCCATCGCAGCCAATGGAAGCACGGCGGAGACAGACGAGTTCTGCCTCTCGTGTTAGCCTATAGCGGCCCGTCCATGACCGCGATCTGCACGTCTCAGACATCTGACCTGCCTGTTCTGGGCAAGCGTCGCATGCCTTGACGCCGCTTGAGATCCCACTTGCGAGATTTTGCTTCTGGACTCTGCTCTGAGGCATACATGTACTTCGCGTGCGCCAGAAATGTCCCGTAGCACCGAGGTGAGACGACCATGACTACAGGCAAACCATCCTAAGCCAATCAGGGTGCTGCACTGGAAAAGACCCACATGTAAGGCCCATTCCAGCTCTCACTAGTGCAAACAAGTCCCGGGGCTGCTGCGCTGCATCTTGCGCTGTAGCATTTCGTCATCGATCGGGAGAGGTTTGCCATCGGGCGGCGGACATGACAGGCCCCGGGCCATCAAGGCGATGCTCAGATCTAGCCCCGCCATAGGATCTCTTGGATAAAGGGTGGGAAAACCAAGGAAAGCGATCATGTGCTTGTCGGCTCAAAGTTAGCGGCATCTCGCGGCCGGTAAAGAGATCGTTGACTGGTGGTGGTAAAAATATCCAAAACATCATGATTAACACACCCATTCAACTGAGCTCGCCTGGCAGTGTAATGTGATTATTTCTCACTGATAGACTGTGCAATGAATTCTGCACGAAGCAGTGCGTAAGATTTGATCTGATTGAAAATCACTGCCGAGGTAAGAGCCACGAAGTGCCCAAATTACCTACTTCTCGTTGCAATCTGTTTGCAAATGTCTTGGAGAATAAATGGCTCGGTGACTGCTCCTGGCTGCTTTGAAGCTGCTTGAAATTCCAATGGGAATCGCTGGTATTTGCACATGCTTTGTTTCTAGTTCTTTGTACATTGGCATTGTAATGAAGCCACAGAAGAGCAAGCGGTCCTCAATGGACAGTTTCTGGCAGATTATCCGCGGCATTGCTGGTACCTTTTGCTTGAATCAGGCGATGGTTAAGCAGGTCGCTGTCAGGTGTAAATTGACGAGTGTTAGGTGCAAGGTTTAATGGCAAATATTCTGTTCCATTTGCTTTTCGTCCTTCATCCCATGAAAGTTTCGTGTTTCTCTTGATACTCGGCTCATTCTTCGGCAACAATGCTGAGCCCTCATATTTCTGCCTCTGCTGGCGCGATGAACTCCCAGCGTCTTCGTGTCTCCCCTGAAATTATAACGTCACACTGGCGCTTGTTGCTCTGTCCAAAAGTAAGGGTCTCCAAACCTTGAGCGCAGGTCTGCGTACCAAATAGACATTGTAAGAGTCCAGTATTCAGATTTGCTTCTCCTGGACTTTCTGCTGTGCATGCTTCTCATTGCCTTCTGGAAAAGTCGCATTTGAGTCCTTCTCCCCAGCCTTTGCGGGAACCATGCGGTCAGCGTATTTCTTCGCTGTGAATTTGTCCACCTGAAGCTTCGTAAGCACTCATCGCGTTAATTTCTCATTTCTGTATCATACCTTGAAGACTGCCCACATATATGCAAGCATGACACCGCAACAGCAGAGCAAGGAAATGCAAGCCTTCTTCCAGTATGGCGCATCGGCAGCTGAGTAGAATAAGATGCCCCAGAATGTCCATAAAACCATTGAACCAATGTTCATAGAGTAAATTGTAACGCTGCGCATAGCGTCGTCGCCGCTCCTCTGCAGAATGATACTAGCCCAACCAAAGATCAGGGGATTGACCATATAGGCTGACCCGGCGAGGTAGTAGGCAAAAAAGGTAGCTCCAAAAGGCAACGATGGGACGAGCAGCATGGCTCCGACGATGACCTGCAAAAGACACGCAAGAACAGCCATCGGAATGCGCTGGCCAGTGGCGTCCATGTGCCAGGCCGCAAGCATATTCGACACGATGCCAACAGCCTGGACGCCCAGGGGATATGTGTTGATCTGAGTCTGCGTGAAAGAATCGTCATGGTACTTCAGCCATAACAAAAAGGTGTTCTGGAAAGGGAACCCCTCTATACTGGCGCACACTGGAGACCAGAAGAACAAAACCCAGCTGTGATAGGGTCAGCTTGTACGACATATCCTTGATGAGATCGGGTCCTACAAGACAGGGTTTGCGAATACACGCTTGAAGAGAGAGACGGGATGGATGTTGTGGCCGTCCTCCTTGATGGGTGGTAATCTTGCAACGGCTAACTGTTTTTCTTTTTCGGAGATGTAGTTGGCTTTGGTCTTTCCTGGAGTATCAGGGAAGTACATGAAGCCAAACACTGCAATTGGCAGTGTGATGATACCGTCTTTGAGGCTTGTCAGCGTCTTTATAAATCGTGGTGCAACCGTCCTGCTTACCGATCAAGAACACCCATTGCCAACCTCCAAGGCCACCAAGCCCTTTCATACCCCTGTGGATAGCGGCCATCATGACACCTGCAAACATGGTGCCTACCTGGCCTGATGCAGTGAACAGAGCAGTTCGCTTGGCGATTTCTTCAGGCTTATACCAGGCCCCGATGATGTAGATGGTGCCCGCATACGTGCTTCCCTCAGCCAAGCCAAGAAAGAAACGAATGACGCAAAGCTGGGTCACGGTTTTCACAGCTGCGCTGGCCATCTTCATTCATTAGCCACCAATACGCCAGTATTTTGCCAATCAAAACCATACCGTCAAGCCAGCCCAGACGACAACCATGGAAGGGAACCATATCCTTGGCGCCACCTTTTGTATTATGATACCATGAGGAAGTTGCCCGACAGCCATTCTTCTCCATGGTCAGCCGCGCTTGTATTTGGGACAAGGTTCTCCATTTTCATACCCAGCAGTGGTCAGAGAAAGGACCTTGTTATAATCAATGCCGCGCATGTCAAGGGCTTCGCGGAGGCCGGCAACCTATTGGAATATCAGGCAAGGCTGATTGCGGCGACACCAATTTGGGCTTACATAGGCATTGGCAAACGCTGCTCGGTCTTCCCCATTGTAAGCTGGTGCTTCGGCTCCATGCAAAGTAGTCACTTACCGAGGTAGTTAAAGAAGTAACTTAGACAGCAGTAAGTCTGTGAAGGATTAGCGAACAAATCTGCCTGGACAACCGCAGGCCGTACCATAATAAAGAAGTCTAGCACATGCTGTTAGCTTTGGAGTTGTGTTTGTGCCCTTAGCATTCACCTAGCTTCCTGACGAGTCGCCTCTCTTCTTTACTGTCCGTGGTATCACCCAGGAAAAAGTCTTGCCCAAAGTCAGCTCTGTTGCTCCTTGCCAGGGTCAAGTGTCTCATCCCACGCACTCCGGATCTTTTGACCGACAGAAGCCATTTTGCCAGATAGATGGAAGCTGATGATTGTGCTCGGCTCGACGTCTCTCACGACCGCAGGTACTCCGTCTTTTTAAGGAAAGCTGGCATGGACTAAGATTGGGTCCATCTCATCTTATCAGATCAACGTCCCGATGACGGGAGCACGACTAAGCAGGCCGCTAGCTAAGCAAAGAGGATGGTCGCCATGGACCTTGTTGGTCTCGAGCATGCTGATTCGAGGCAAAGCTTTGCGGAGCCGGTAGACGTGGTGACATTCAGGGTCTAGAATGCGGATAGGTAGACACTTTTGAAAGCTTATTCGGGATGACCAGGGTAAGGACTCCATCATACATATACATCAGGCCAGATGCATGATTCAAGGTGAGGGTTTCTGAGTCGCGATATTGCACTAGGTGACACGCCCCCGACCACGGAACTTCTTCTGAGGTATCAGCATGAGTAAAGAGGCGGGAGCTCATACAAGGGAGCAAACAAGTCCAAAGAACAAATCTCCGCGAACACATGGCGTGGCGTCCTGCGTGCTGCATCTTGACCACTCGGCTGGGCCTGAATGTTGGGTGCCAGAGGCGGAAAACCCATCTAAAAGGCCCCACAAAGAGTACCCTGTTCTGACTGACAGAGTACATCAGGGTCTAAAATCTCATTGGCCCGCCTACGTTCCTATGGTCAGAGTTTTCCAAGGGTAATTCGAGCCGTGTATTGACTGACAGTCTAGCTTGAGGGGTTTCATTCCTCGCGTAGAACAGTGCCCAATATGAGCGACGCCCTGTCCCGGGCTGTCAAGCCTCCGGTCGCTCATCTAGCCGCTCACTGCAAGCTGTCAGTCGCTGGCTTTCGCCTTGTCAGTGTCATTCACCTGGGGCCAGGTGGCCCACGTGCTCAGTACCTCCCGTAGCTGAGTTCCAGGCACTTTCCTGCCCTGTGGAGTAACCCACCTCAAACACGAGCGAGTGAGGCTTTATCAGCTCTTGGAACCCACCCGCTACCCTCGCGGCCTGCGTTCGATATTTCCGACACTCAGTTGCCGAGGACATCTGTCCTTATCGATCAACCCGCGATGTTTACCACTTCTTTCAACGGCTCATCGAGTTTCCGAAAAGAGCCTTCATGCGGTTGCCGGCCTGAACCAGGTCACCTTACAATGCATGGCTGTGTAACCTTCCATATGTTATACTGCTTCCGAAAGAACTCCTCGGCCTCTGTTTCCACACGGTGTGTTCGTCTCGAACCGAGGCTCTTCACACTTCAAGCCACGTTTGGGACGGGAAATTGTCGTCATGGATGCTCGGGAGGTGATGGACCGAACAGCACACCCTTACCCCATGTCCCCAGGAACAGCTACCCCGCATTCACCCAGTGGTTGGACGGCCAAGGTGGCTCCCCCACAAGACTAAACCTGGGGTCGGCGATCGATGGTGCCGAAGAGACGAAGATGATTGAGGATCCGGATGGTCGGATCTTAACGAAAGGGGACTGCGTGGTCCTCAGCCTGGGCAGCATATAACGGCGCCATTTTGCTGCCCGTTGCGAAGGGCTTCCTCGACTTCGCAGGCCAGTACATCGCAAATGACAATGTTGTCCTTTCTTGTATATACGATTTCCGTTTTGCTGGCGTGCCACGGTGCACAGGGGCAACAAGCCCAGTCGCCACAGCTCCTTGCTAGCCTTGACTACGGAACATTCAAGGGAGCTTACTCAGAGAGGTACAACATTTCGTACTGGCAGAGGATTCCTTTCGCAGCGCCTCCTGTCGGTGAGAACAGATTCCGCGGCCCGCAGCCTCCTCTACCAGTTCTAGAGGACCCGTATGATTCTAGTCGACCATTTGATATGTGCCCGCAGCGCACCGTACGTATTGTGACATCTTCACATGTGTGCTTCCGGAGCTGACTTGAATAGGTCAACGGTTCAGAAGATTGCCTCTACCTGGGACTCTACTCACGGCCCTGGACTCGCGATCAACCCCTGAAGCCAGTCGTGGTAACATTCTACGGTGGTGGGTTTATTCAGGGCTCAGCCTCTTTTAATATCCCACCTTCTGCGTACCCTATTCTCAACGTGTCGACATCGTCCGACATGTTGTTTATCTACCCCAACTATCGCACAAACGCATTTGGATTCCTTCCTGGCAGGGAGGTTGCGGAGGACCCCCTATCGGACCTCAATCCGGGTCTTCTAGACCAGGAAGCTGTGCTCAAGTGGACGAAGAAATACATTGCCCAATTTGGCGGCAATCCCGACAATGTGACAGTCTGGGGACAGTCGGCTGGTGGTGGAAGTGTTCTGGCACAGGCACTTGGGCGCGGGGGAAAGCAGAAACTCTTCCATAAGGCCATGGCTAGCAGTCCTTTCTGGCCCAAAACATACAAGCACGACAGCAACGAAGCACAGGACCTCTACGATGAGCTGGCTGCGAGAACTGGATGTGCAGGACCCAATAGTCTCGCATGTCTCAAGAAGGCTGACGTCCAGACCATCCGCGACGCAAGCCGTTTCCTGTCGACCTCGCAACAGTACAACACGTCAACTTTTACTTGGGGTCCTGTCATCGATGGTGATTTCTTGCGCGAACCGCTTTCGCAGGCCACAGCCAAGGGTCATGTTAACATGAATCTGGCTTTTGCCATGCATAACACCCAAGAAGGCGAGAACTTCATCCCTCCCGGTTTCCAAGGTGCAACGGATGCCGGGTCGCCTCCTTACAATTCAAGCGCCGAGTCCTTTGATACATGGCTCCGCGGATTTCTCCCTGGGTTTAAGACGTGCGAAATCGAAGCTGTGAAAAGACACTACCCAGTAGAAGGCACAACGGAGACCATCGAGTATAGCACAACGTACGTCCGTGCCGGTCAGATCTACCGAGATGTCGTCCTCACCTGCCCTGCCTATTGGTTCTCTGGATCTGCACAGGATGGCGGCTGGCTTGGCGAGTATTCAATGAGCCCATCAAAGCATGCGAGTGACACAGTTTGGGTAAGTAGTTTAAAAATGTTGACAAACACAATACTGATGTGTCACAGTGGAATCAGATAAACGCTATTCAGCGGTCGGATCCTGCCAGGTATCAAGCTTACACAGGTGCGTTCAAATTCACTCGCAGAGCATTGACCATAAGCTTATGGGGAAAAAACAGGCGCTTTCGCATCCTTCTTCATGACGGGTGACCCGAATGCTCTCAAACTGTCGCCTCCCGACATTGCCGGGGTTCCTGCGCTCGACACCGGTAGCGAATGGGTTATCAAGGACGGTGGACTAAGCACAGCCAAGCTTGAGCATCTTGGCAAGAGGTGTGAGTTCTGGCGAAAAACGGCAGCCAGAGTGCCGATGTAGTACCATAATCATCCTTAGATACAATGCTTCTACACTGAAATACTTCGTGCATCTCATAAGTATGTGGTGTCAACCCACCACTCAGTCTCAAACCCGTGTCCGAGAACGGTCACAGGCTGCACTGGTGCATCCAATGAGCCTGCAAACTCAACACGCGGTCCGACTGCGCCTGGCCCTGTGTTGCCATACTCCCGGTAAAAGATATTGGCAACGCTCTGTGTCGCATCCCATGCCGACCACCCTGCCGCTTTGACGACGTTGCCGAGCCAGCTGTTCTGGAAAACGACCCTGGAGAACGGCCTCCATGGCCTTCCCAAAACAGTTGACCCCTCACCGCTCGTGCCAGTGATGTTGGCATGGTTGAACACGTAGAAAGACTTGTTCTCCTCCGACTCTCTTCCATTTGCTGTGATGAAACCCGGCCCTATAGTTTCTATGTCACAATTCTCGAACCATGCCGAAGCTCGCAAACCAAACACGAAGTCGACGGCGCCATTGATGTACGAGTTGGCGTAGATTTGCCGACCCTCATTGGCGTATATTGTGTCTTGAAACCCGGTGAAGCTGCACCCATAGAAACCCTCGTTTGTCCTCTGTGCGCTTAAAGCCAGTGCTTGCCCGCCCGTGGCTGCTTGTCCAAAGGTGTTGGCAATATTGAGATTGTAGACCTTGACATCTGAGGTCCAAAGCCGGACAGTGGATGTTTGATCGTTGTTTGTCAATCCAGGCGTCTGCCGAGAGAGGTTACCCGTGATGGTAACCTCGTTGTTGAAGTATGATCGGGAGTCTTTTGTATAGCCTTGAAGCTTGAGTGGACCGGAAAGTGAGGGAATGTACACCTGCTCGGAGTAAACACCGGGCATAAGGAAAACGACATGCTCGGCTGTCGTGTTCTCAATTGCAGCGATAGCCTGCCCTACGGTGGGATAGCTGTCGGGGTACTGCTTCGAGGCGTCAACAACAATCGCTCCTGGCGGAGGTTTGGTTCGAGAGGGTGACTTGACGCAGCTGAGCGCTGATACACCAAGACCAGTGCCCAGGAGAAACAAACGTATGAAATGCATGTTTAGTAGATGATACCAAATGAAGCCTGAAAAGTCCAGTGCAGGAAGCACAGATTCGAACTGATGCTAAAGCTGCTACCTTTATATTAAGAGCAAAGCACAAGTTCCGCGCTACTTTGAATCGATGGACTCCAAAGAACAACTCTGAGGCATCTTCCGCTTGCCATTCCGCCTGCACTGCGTTTTCGAAAGTTCTGGGTACGGCAAGATGCTACCGGCAGTTCGAATTTTGCGGGGAGGCGCACGGAGGATCTCGAATGAGTGTTTCCGCCAACGAGATGCACCCGTGAAGTTGGGGTCGACAAACGTATGATGCGGGGAACTTCAATCTTTTTAGCTAAACCCAAGTTGGCCTACTTTAAAGAGCCCAATTTCTCGAGGGTGCCTAGCATGGCATACAGTCTAAAAAAGATGCGTTCCGGGGCCAGTCATCAAGCCAGGCAGGTGGAACCACCGAAATGCCTTCCAGCTCCCTTAACAGAGCCATCAGCAGAATCTGGTTCCTCCCACCCAACGATCAGAACATTTACGTGTGCCTTCACCGGCTACTCGTGAAACTGCATGATGGCCTCTCCCACCGGCATGCTACCAATCTTCTGTTGAGTCAAGGAGGGGGAGCCGCGACAACTTTATCCTTGTCAGCAAAGAAAATATTGCCAGGGTAAACCCGGAGGTCGCCTTTGGGACTGTAACACACCCAGGCTCGAGAGGGTTCATATGACGGACGCTGCTGTCAGGCGTGAGCTGCTGCCGGCCGGCTTACCTTGATTCTTGGGAATCGGCGAACCTTCTTGGCGGCTGAACCCGCGCCACTACGGCCTATGACTTCCGGGCAAAACTGCAATCCAAAGATTCTAGTAGGGTGAGAGATTCAGGTCGAAATCATGGCTCCTACTTCGTTCAAAGAAGGAATAGTTACTAGTGCGGCATAAGCTTGAGGAGCGAACCAAACGTGCATGGGTTGTTGACTAATTTGTACCCGATCGATTGTTCGGCCGGTTTTTTGTTGTGGTGCGTTGTGAAATGTGCGCTGTAAAGCATTGATTTAGTGGACTTTGGTACTCACGTGTATCTTGGTTTGTTCAGTAAATCCATGCTTCCAATGGCAGAGGACTTCTCCCTCACCATCAAAAGGTTGTTAACTTCCGGCCATGATCGCAGCCACTGTGTCGCCTGTCCGAAGATGCTGAAGCTTGGATGCCAGAGTACCCTCACACTAATTAGTCGAACAAGCTGGGGTTTGTGCCCTTCCGGAGAACAACAACAACACCCTTGTGCACCACTCTCACATAAGACTAGGCTGGATTCAGAGGTTGTTGACCCAGGATCAATCATCGCCTGTATCTTATGTTTCACAACAACAGACTGCATCATGACGTATATGGGGACCACTCCCGCCGCAACACCAGCGACATCATGCACGATCCGAGTCGAACTCGAACTGGTCTTTGGCGGCCCCACAACAACAGGTAGCGCGTTCAAGCTCGTGAGCCTGACGAAATCATCGGAACTTTGCTTCATTGTCACCGAGAGACACGCCGCGGGAAAGTCCGCCGACATCGCCAGTCGCCAGTTGACTACGGACAACCTAAATCGCAGATTCGTTCTAGGCAGCCCTATATGAACTTCGTCTTAAAATTGTCCCCTAGCGTTACCACCGTTACGCTCTCTAGAGAGCCCGCTGTTGTGCTGACTGTTACTCGCTCATTTGCTTGGAAGGCCTGTTTTCTTTACTGTGAGTAGCATGTTTTTACAAGATCAGACTTCAAGAAGCAGAATCGGACCCGGATGAGTTCGATATACTACACGCCACTGCGCCTGGGTACAGACTGCTGAATGGTGACTTTTCCACCGTCTTGACGAGGATACTCATAAGGGACTCGGCTGATATCTTTAGCTGCTTTCGAGGTTTCATGTGAGGCCCACAATCAATCTTGACAATGAAGATGTTTGAGAACTTGCGGTTACCAACGCGTCAACTCCGCCTGCTTCGCCACCAGCGACGATGGACTGAAACGGGGTGCTTGTTGTTTATGGGTCAGACCCCATACTTATTCTCTATTATCATGTGCATCATCGCGAGTGATGGTTTGCTAGACCGAATGGCACACCAGCGCACAAGTCTAAATGATTCATTTTGTGTCGCATACGCGCGTCCGCGTTGTCCAGCTATTTGGATACCGAGCCGGGTGTGTCCGCCTATCATCAACGGCGGCAGGGGTTCCTCGTCGGGGAGTGCTTCAAGTCTGCGGGCGGGGATTCACTTGCGCCCGCTGAACTACTCCATCTGCTGGTGAAACCGAGTGCCGCACCCGAAGTACTTGAGTGCTCCGTACCATGCCCTGCGACATACCTCTGGGTTCACCCTGGGCTGTTCCGAGTTACCCGGCTCCTCGTCTTAAGACAAATTACAGTAGAGCGTGCATTCCAAAGCTACATGCCGACCTCGCTCATCTACACCCTTGCATGAATGATTTTGTCTCCAGGAAGATCGGCGAAGCTGCCAGGAAGAACACCCCATCGTGGCCCCCTGTGCGCCTTTTCCACAACATCAGCCAAGGCGGAAACGTTAGCATTCTTCCCTCGTAGAGCATGGAAATTAGGAAACTCATCATCATATCTTTGGATAGGCATAACTACGGAATAGTTTTAGGTACTTTATATATTCCATTCATCTGGAGCCTTGTAGGAAGCGAGCGGATTTGCAACGTCGCCATCGATCTGAAGCTTTACTCCATCTTTCTCCGCAATGGATCAAACCGCTTAATATCATCACCGCATCTTCCAACGCTGTCCTGATCTATTGTTTTGACACCGAAAGCCATACGATTCAAGAATCCATTTACCGCTATAGCGTACCATCGCTCGCCTCGCGAACCGAACCATCCTAGGTGACCACCGCGGGAAGTTGTACACAGAATTGTGTAAGGGTTACACTGAAATTCTTCATACGGAATCGCTTCATCGACTGCTATCTTCAGACAATCGCGATCAGATACTCTGGTACACGCAAGCATAGGCTTGGATAAAACATACCGGATCATCAGCTGCGTGTAGCGCAAGAAATGGAATCCTGATGGCCAGCACAGCGTCGCTTGAGGATGCATCGCGGTAATATGAGAATACGGTTGGATATCCCCATGTTTGGCAATGAACTTCCTTATCAAATTCCGTCAGGGTCGTAACAGACAAGATAGCATCAAGGTTTAACTGAGTGTGAGCCTCGATTTCCTCGGAGTTTTCGCGGGCGTATTCTTTAACGATGTCTACCGTCATTCTTCGTTAGCATGGCATCATAGTCCAGGACTTGAACAAATTACCCCCCAGTGTCCGAAGATAGACATGTCTTCCCACAACTGTACGTAGAAGAGCCCTACTCACAGCCTCCAAGTTGAAGGGGTTGGAGCAAACGACAGCGGCAGTCAAATGACAGCCTGGCCCTTCTTCGCCGCAGTACTGATATTGCGTCAGCAAACACGGATGTTGAAGCAGAAGGGCTTCTTACATTGGTGAGTATGTTGGCACCTAAAGAAAAGCCCAGACCAAAAATTCGCCTGTTAGGAAACCGTAATCTAATCCATGTCACAACCTGTCGTATGTCCCATGTAGCCCTGGCGTTGTACAGAACACCGCTCGTAAGTTTACTTCGGGCGCAGCCTCGTGAATTGACAACACAAACACCCCACATCCCGCTTTCGACTAAAGGAGCTATGGAGTGCCGGACATATGCCTCGTGCGACCCACCCGTAAGGCCATGGAGCACGATGAGCTGCGGCTTGGCATCCGAGGAGCCAAGGGTATCCATTTCTTCGCCGTGTAAGGATGTTGCTCTGAAAGGATATTTGTCATCCGACTCAGGACATGTGCTTGTAGCGAAGTCTACTGCAAAACTTCCCCCGTAGTCTGGATTGTCTGATGTAAATATTCGCCTCTCATAGAGAACTTGAGGAGCATTCGAGTTCACTGTCGTCCAAAAGGTCTGAAGATGGCCATTGAAAAGAAGTGGGTTCAATTTGCAAGGTGGCAAAGACGTTTGGCAAATATGAAGTAGGTTTGATATGGTGCCATCTTTTTCTTGCAGCTCAATCGGCGCTTGTGCATGCGTATAACGTGTGGTTGTTTCGGTGAGCCAGTCCATGGTCGATGGGTGAGAGAGTGAGAGTGAGAAATGAAATGCGTGTTCAAGAAAAATTGCACAATACTTCTGTGAGGCACTCTCTCCATACATATCTTTTGGCTCGAATCCACAGCACGATACAAGTACTGGTTCGGTGTAATAGCTAATCGGTGGGGAGTGGCTGGCTGCTTGAAGAGTGTTCATCGCCCATGTATGAATAGCGGGCTGCAAAAGCTATTGCGTCATGTCACTCATTGTCTCGTTGTGCAAAAGCGGAAAAAGAAACTTGTTCTCAAAAAACCTGCTCCGGCCCGATCCGTACTCTATTTCTGCCTACACTGTTGATGCAGCATGCATACTGGTCCTAGAGTGGAGGATCATTTGACCAGAATCCGAGCTTGAGCTTCGAAACGGTGGATACTCACTGTGTCGTGAGCAGGCTTCGAGGGGGAAAACTGTTTCATCTATGTCACCATGCCCAGGCGAAGAAATGCGCCTATACGAACAGGCCAACCATTTTACTTGAATGACTGAGACATATCGCCACCATTAACGCGTGCCGACATATCCCTACCAACCGCAAAAAAGAAATAAACCGATTAGCATTGGCCATTGACCTTCACTAGGTGGATCGCCGTCATTGGGCGGGCAATGGAAGTAGTGCAATGCGAAAGATATCACATCGCGAGTTAAGATCATCGGAAATAGTCCCTTGATCTAGGTAAGCAAGAACATAGGTGCCCTATATAGAAGACGTATGAATTTGCAAATGATTAGGTAAACTATGTTGGACGCCCTAGCTACTGTGTTGCTATCGTGTGACTTGTATTTACTCGGGCACAGGCTGCATTATTAAAGACTACTCTTCTCACGTGCCTCGAGC